TGTGTGAGTGTGAATGTGAATGAGGGACAACAGATGGAAATTAACCCATGGCTACAATCCGGAGTGATGTGTTCATGAACATGTACTGTCCCAAACCAAATACACAATACATGGGAGAGAAAGGTAGGAGAGATGGAGAAAAGGGAGAGATAGAAAGGTAGGGGAGATAGAAAGATGGCTATGTAGAAAAGATAGAGATGGGAGAGGTAAAGGTAGGAGAGATAGATCTATTTATGTATAAAATCAGAATACATTTAAATCAGGCACACCAAGACAACACAAAAACACAAAAACAGACAACAAAAAACAAACACAAAAAGAGAGATTGGAGATGGATAGAGACGTAGAGATTTAGATCGACATAGAAAGATAATTTGTCACATTTTTTTTTTTAGATTTAGATTTATTTATTTGAAAAGGGACAGTGCACATTAATCAACATTTTACAATGTAAATATGCCCGAGTTAGCAGAAAAGCTAATTTTCATCGGTAGACCCTTTGGCAGATGTCAAAGCCAGCCTAAAAAAGCAAGATTAAAAACACAATATATACATACAATGAACAATTACATGAAGTGAAATGACTGGTAACCAATGAAGTCTGGAAGCATCTAAACACAACTCCAGGTCTGTTTTTGATGAGAGAACAGTGTCACATGTTTTAAAGTCATAAGAGAATATTTTCAACACCAGAACTCACACAGCAGTCAATTTGTGGAAGCCCAATGACTGAGTTTATGTACATTTCTGGTCTTCAAAACCTTTTCTGTCTCTATGTAGTTCTATACTGTACATCCATTTGTTTGAACGTTATTTTCTATTTTTTGCCGGTATATTCTAAGGGGCGAGAGTAGCTCAGTTGGTAGAGCACTGGCCTTTAGGCCTGAAGGTCGTGGGTTTGAGCCCACCATAAGACCTACTTCACGACTCCCACTGATGACTGCTGTTGTTGTGTCCTTGGGCAAGACACTTAACCCCCCTTTGCCTGAAGCCCCCCCTGAAAGATCTCAGCTCCTGTGGACTCACCACCTGCAGGAGGATCAGTGAGGGGCTGGTGCTCTGTGTACTGGGTGCAGCTCTGACTGCCACCCCCCGGACCCAGAAATGGATTAAGGGGAAGAAAATGGATGGATGGATATTCTAAGGTGCTGGTCCTGGACTGGTCCTGAGTGGAGCTTGGTTAACCACCAGACACCCACAATGTCTTTGAGTCTCCAAAAAAAAAAAAAAAAAACGCTCTATAAAAGATTAGGAGATTGAGAGATTAAGAGATCCTTTATTCGTTCCACAGCCGGGAAATTTCAGACCAGGAAGTATTATCATCATTTCCCAGACGGAGGAGGCCCCAGGGAAGACCCAAGACCAGGTTGGAGGGACCGCCAGCCTGGGAATGCCTCAGGGAGTGTGCATGGATCCTGGATAGAGAAGTGTTTGCTCTTTTCCTCCATGATGCAGCAAGAAATAAGGTGTAGGAAAAAAAGGAATGGATTTTCTTATATGGGAACATCCGTCTTCATTTTATGGTTTAAATAAAACATAAACCAGCAGCTAACTCTTTCGGTGTTCAAATTAGGGCCATACATCTCTAAAGTCTCTCAGGCTAAAACTAAAGCAGGACTCCTTTAGCTTTGGTCTCAATTGTTCCTTGTTTACTTTTACTTGTGACAGACGCCCACAAAGAGCAGGACTTTAAACAGACCCATGGACGCAGAGCTGGGTGTGAATACAGCACGGAACTAAAGTATTCAACCATTCTGCAAATTCACTTTCTAGAAATTGCAGAATGGTGGAAGTAGCAGTGGAAGTCAATCTCTAAGTTTAAAAGCTGGAATACATAACTTTGTGTTTTAAGTCTCGTTTGTCCCATAGGAATGAGTGGGTTAGTTACACTGTACTCATGTCAAAGTATCACAATAAGTAACATGTGATATTGTGAACTAATCAGACAAAAATGAGGTTGTACTGATGCTCCATTTCTACCGGCTCTACTCTACTCTGCTCTACCTTGATTGGGAACGTTTTGGCCCAAGGTTCTTTTTTAGTACCTGCTTGGTCTTGGTTCTATCCAGGGTGAGCTGGTACTGATGGGCGGCACGGTGGCTGAGTGGATTGCACTCTCGCTTCTCAGCAGACCCTCAGTCCTGGGGTCGAATCCCGGTCGGAACAGGGCCTTTCTGACTCGCTTCCGTCATCACCGTGTGTGGAATGATTGGAACAATATCTGAACTCTGAACATTGTAAATCGCTTTGGGTGACCTTGGTCTGTAAAATGTGCTATATAAATAAACATTACTTACCTACTAAAGTGTTGTGACAGTGATTGGCCAGAGTGATACTGACCTTAATCTGTAAAAATGCGCTATATACAAAATAAAGATCACTTACTGAACTTACTAACAGTATTTGCAAAAGTACTGCTTAAAGGCGACAGTTTTTTAGTTCCCTGGTTATTTACACACACATTTTGTAATTCAAATAAATATATGATAGTTATCTATAAGGGTGTCATAGATTCTCACAAGCAATTTTTAAATCTGTTTATACTTTGTTAATCTCCAAGGAAATCCCATTGAGATTAAGAACCTTTTTTTCAAGGGAGTCCTGGACAAGAGGCTTCTGTTTCTCATCATGAACTGAAAATGCAAGAATAGAAATTGACAGGACTTTAAAAGGATGCATCCCAAACTGAAATGAAGTAAGTGTTTGATTACATTTGCGTTCAAATGCTCCAACAACAAGATAAATGAACCTAATTATTTTTTAAACACTCTGACACTATCACTTTCAATTATGACATTCCCACATAACCCAAAGCCAGAGCACATTTTGAGAACTAAATTAAAACTGTGATTAATTCAGAGGCCGCTGCAAAACAGATTACAGTCTTAATGGTTCAAATCTGCTCTGGTAAAAGTGGAGATTTCTCAAACACATTCAATAGAAGTAATTAAAGAGTGTGTCACAATGTGCTTTATTATAATGATCCAGGACTGAGACTGTAGACCCAGGACTCGGGCTGTAGACCCAGGACTCGGGCTGTAGACCCAGGACTCAGGCTGTAGATCCCTCCATCAATAGTAAGTCCCAGGGCTCTTTCTTCACAAATATGCTAAATATACAATGTTTTCTAATGGGACAAAGACAACATGGTATGGTCTAATTTATAAAACAAACAAATATTTAAGTTATGTGTGAAGACATTTGAATTCAGTGATTAAATAGTGGAACAAATGAGGAACTCTTATATTTTATTATGTAATCACATTAGTACACAAATTAATCAATGAGAGATGATTCTACTCCAGGCTAAGGCATTTCCTTTGTGTGTGTGTGTGTGTCTGTGTGTGTTTTTCTCTCACACACACAAGAAGAACTACTGTATCCTCTTGGGAACTTCCCCTTCTCACTGCGACGCTATACGTTTGGAGCAGATGCATTTGTAAATACGAGAGAGAAGACATTGGCACAGTTACAGCCACACAACTGCCGAGCACACACACACACGGACAGACACACGCACACACACACACACACACAAACACACTTTGCTTGGATTCCTGCAAACAAACGCATCTATTTCTATCCTCTCCTCTCGCTCTATGGCGGGTGAAATAACGAGGCATTTATTTCGGTAAAAATGCTTACATTTTGAAAGTTTATTCCGTAAGTCAGTAGTGAATCGGCATCAGTCACTGAAGGTTACAAGGTTTGTCAAGTTGTGGTGGACAAAACAGAACAGAGGTGAACAAAGTCAGATCAGAGGTGATGCCAAGCTGGATCCAGAAAGGGGAGCGGCTGCAGGTTTTCGTTCCAACCAAGCAGGAGCTGGTTCGACACCCCACAAGTTTTGACGATTATGTGCATTCCAAATATGAAACATTTGATCAAAGAAAAGCCATTTTTATACGCCCTTTTTTGTTCTTACAATAAACTGATGAGCCATAACATTACGACCAGTGAGTGATAAACTAAATACAACATTTTAATTACTTCATCCATTTTTTCCCCTCCAATTTATGTTAGAGGTTTAAAGGGAATGAGGCACTTTTTGTCCTTGCTTGTTGCTTATTAAAGAAGAAATATTATGCATTATTTTTGGCCAATAAAAAAGTGTTTGAATGTGTGTTTTATAACTTGAGATTATATATATATATATATATATATATATATATATATAAAAACATGTATGAAGGTTAAAAATGTTTTTTGCCTGTAACTCCCTAGGCTACCACCAGAGGGAGCTGTTGAATTTGTTTTATTCTATTCTAAATTGGAAAATAATTAGCTGCAAACACAGACGATTGTAACAAATGTCATTACACTTGTGAAATTAGGCACAATCAATTTACGGACAATATTTTTGTTTTATAAGTGTGACGACAGGAGCATTTAGACAGAAGGGGCGGAGTCCGATATCTGTGCTTGAAGTTCCTGATATTAGCCTGGATGGATCTCAAAACACCTCCAGGTCTGTGTTTGATGAGGAATAATGTTTTTAACATTTTTCATAATATTTCTCCTTTAATTGCCGTGTTAATCAGACAGTCATGATATATTATGTGGCATTTGCGCCTGACCGGTGCAAATGCCACATAATCTAGATATAGACGTTAATACAAAAACTTCAACCATAGAAAATGCAATAAAACTATTTACAAACATCTGTACATAGTGGAAATAGGAGAGACAGTATAAGTCATGATTTTAATGGGAGGTCGTCATTACTGCGGTCAGTTTTGCGAAGCCATTGGTCCGAGTTCTGCATCTGTTTTTTTGCAATACCAGCAAGAAATCACGAATTTTGAGCCGTGTGCAAAACTTTCTTCCCACCGCGCCCTATTCTCAGTACAAAGACTGTCAGAGAGACGGGAGCGAGGAGGAGGTTTCGTCTTGTCGAGATGAACAAGGCACGGTACCAAAATAAAACCGGGTCCGCGAAGGGTATTGTGTTTGCCTGTGAGTGTGCGTCGGCAGGTTTGGTCCCACTGTCTTTGTTTTGTTCACTGCCCGATGCCGGAGTCTATGGAGGTCTGCTTCCTGGTGGTTTTTGGAGGCGGAGGGGGAGGAGTCTTGCTGGGCAGAGGAGGAGGCAAGTGCTGCAAAAAAGTAAAACAGGATGAGAATATTAGCGTCAACATATTTTAGTCTGAGCGAGGGAGATGGAAGTGCCATCTGGAGGAAAGGGCCTTGGTTTTTTAGAGGACACATACTTACACCATTGTTCAGAAATAGTATTAGTACGTTCATTATTTAAAACCGATATTACTTGTAACTTAAAACAAGATTTAAAAAAAGAAACAGGAAAATATAGCTTGAAAAGGGTTTGGACAAAGGTCTACATAGCGCCAAGAGCTCTCTCGCACAAAAACGTACACCTACACACACACGCACACACACACGCAAAGCAGCATTACTATTGAACATGAGAAAGATTTAAAGACATACATATTGATTATGCAAAATATGGACCACAAAAACCTATAGCTCCGCCCCCTTCTGTCTAAAAAGCAAGTCATTGTAGCACTATGACATCACACTCAAAGAAGTCTTTGTGTTTTTTGACAATTTTTCAAATGAATTTACGTTCTTTACAATCATATGTCCGTTTTTGTACCCGGTGATACAAAAAAAAAAAAAAACTAAACAAAAAACATTCTACAACTCCCTCTGGTGGCAGAATAGAGGTAGGGCAGGCAGAGAGCACTGTTTCCCCTTCATACTGGTTTCATTGTATATTTATACATAAGATATTATTTCACATTCAAAATATTGTGTGATAGTAAAATGTCTCATTATTATTTTAAATGGACAAAGATAACTTTTGTTTCTTAAACTTAAAGGGCGCACTTCCCAGGAAAAGCAATACAAGATGGTTCATCCCACCATAAAACATAGATTGTGAAAGATTGCTTCAGGCTAACTTTTTAAATTTCAATATTATATTAGCAGTGAGAGATTACTGTGTGGATTTTTCTTTTTTGTTTATCTCAAAGTGATGTAGTGGGAAAAAGTAAGTTATTGATAGTTTTGTTATTTACCATCGCGACAGTGCGGCATCAATCATCCGCACTACAGTTGACAGGAGAAAACAAGGAAGTTCACTCTCAAATGCCAAGCCATTAATTCTGCTGCTTCCAGAAGAGAGCTGGAACTTTCACTTATCTCCGAGCGGGAAAACTTCAGACAAACTTGACTGAGGCTGAGGGATGTCTGTAACTGTGTACAGGTCACAGAATCACTTCAACTACTACTACTACAGCTATGGCAACTGCTGCTACTACTACTAAAAGTACGTACTACTGCTACCACAAAAAGGGCTTTTAGCACATCCCTATAGAACACCATTATTAAAAGCTCAGTCTTGCCTAATAAGTCTCTTTGAAATCAATTTTACACCTCCATACAAATCATTCCTTCTAATTGAACACTTTGATTACAATGAACCCCTCATCACTGCTGAACCACACACACACAGACACACACACACACACACACACACACACAAAGCTCACGACAGCACACGACACTGGCCCGTTGGTCTCACTCAGGTGGTTCTATTCTATGCCACAATTATCATCAGGAGCCTATATCCTCGGTGTTAAATGTTACACATACCCTGTGATGCGGCGGCGGCGGTGGCGTGGACGGGCACAGTTCGGGGTTCTCAAACAGGTTTCCGTAGTCTGCAATACTGCTCTTGACAGGCAGGGGGGGCGGGGCGTCGCTGGTGCCGTTGAGCTCCAGGCCTGCGGACAGGACAGGACATGGGATTTATAATCATAGGCTTTTTCATGTACCCTGCAAAAAATGATCAAATATGAAATCATAATTGCTAGAATCGAGTTTTTTTTTACTTGACTTAAGTACATTCTGACTGTCTTAAAATGAGATTTGCCAATGAGACAAGCAATTTTGACTTGATTCAAGAACTATTGCTTTCTTTTCTCATTCCAAGAGAAAAATATCTTGTATCTTTTTAAAACAAGACAATTTTTCTTGTTCCATTGGCAAATCTTGTTTTAAGACAGTCAAAATGTGCTCAAATTTAGATACATTTAGCCAAATGTTAGCATTTTTTTTGTCTTTAATTCTGTCATCTTTTGGAGTGTATCCATCCGTCGTTTTCTTCCGCTTCAAAAGCTCATGACCAGAGGTGAGGGAGGGAACGAAGATTGACCGGTAAATCGAGAGCTTTGCCTTTCGGCTCAGTTCCCTCTTTACCACAACGGTCCGATACAGCGACCGCATCACTGCGCACGCTGCACCGATCCGCCTGTCAATCTCATGCTCCATCCTTCCCTCACTCGTGAACAAGACCCCGAGATAACTCCTCCACTTGAAGGACCTCTCCACCCACCTGCAGAGGGCAAGGCACCTTTTTCCAGTTGAGCACCATGGTCTCGGATTTGGAGGTGCTGATTCTCATATGTTGCAGGTCCTGGCTCGTTGGAGCCAACAGGACAACATTGTGAAATCCTGTGGTCTCCGAACCGGACCCCCTCCGGCCCCTGGCTGCCCCTAAAAATTCTGTCCATGAATACAGTGAACAGAACCGGTGACAAAGGGCAGCCTTGGCGGAGGCCAACATGCACCGGGAACAGGTCTGACTTAGTGCCGGCAATGCGAACACAGCTCTGACTCTGGTCATACAGGGACCAGATGGCCCTCAGCAGAGGACCCCGGACCCCGTACTCCCGGAGAACCTCCCAAAGGACACTCCGGGGAACACGGTCAAACGCCTCCTCGAAATCCACAAAGCACATGTGGACAGGTTGGGCGAACTCCCATGAACCCTCGAGTATCTGATGGAGAGTATAGAGCTGGTCCAGTGTTCCATGACCGGGACGAAAACCACACTGCTCCTCCTGGATCCGAGATTCGACCATCGGCCGTATCCTCCTCTCCAGTTTTTCATATTTTTCATTGTAAATATTTAATGAATTCAACAAAAGTGTAAGTATACATCCATCCATTTTTTACCCTTTAATCCATTTCTGGGTCAGGGGGGTGGCAGTCAGAGATGCCACCCAAGTCTCATAGCACCAGCCCCTCACTGACCCTCTGCAGGTGGTGAGTCCACAGGAGGACGGCTGCTCTCTGAGTGTGAGCATAGCCTTGATCTTTCAGTGGGGGCTTTGTGGGTTAAGTGTCTTGCCCAAGGACACAACGACAGCAGTCATCAGTGGGAGTCGGTGGAGAAGGTGTGGAGGTGGGAATTGAACCCATGACCTTCAGGCCAGTGCGCTACCAACTGAGCTACTGTCGCCCAGTGTAAGTATACAGTTGAACAGAAATGAGATGCCAATAAGCGCAGTACAAGTGTAACCGTTTTCCCAGACGTTTTATTACATAAGTCACTAATTCATTTTTAAATACATTAAAAGATTGTTTAGGTTTCAAGTATTGTTTTTGCAATATACGTTTTCATTTTTTCCCACTTAGCCCCACTTCTTTCCCGTTTAATTTCTTTTCATTTCATTTTATTGAGTTTTATGACCCTAGAGAAATGTAGAATGGAGCTTGTATAAGTTATAAACGTCTAATGTTCTCTATTTTTTCTAGTTTATTTGTGTGCATTTTGGGATAATGTTTATGCTTCATATGAATAGTTTCTGGGGTCCTTCATTAGCCAACTTTTATGATTGTTGATATTCTATTCATCATTAATCCTATCTCTTATCCTATCTTATATATGTCTATATGCTCTCTGTTACGCTTTCAAAACACAGTCTACACAATGATCGAGGACAAATGTGATGCTTGTTGCTTCACTTTCCATCTCGGCCTCATTCTATGTTTTTTCTGTTTCTAATTATTACTGTCAACCTTTTCTAATAAAAATATTTAAACAACTAATAAAAAATACTAAATAAAGCTGCTGTGATAAACTTATTTGAAAATGGTCCAACATTTTCCATCAAAATTGTTCCAATAAAAACACTGGAACATATGGAACTGTTATTAATGATGTCGTTCTTCCAGACAAATCCAAGGCCGTTGCTGAAAATAGATCCGCTGGTCCAATTAGACAAAATCCGCTAATCCCCCAAAATAACCATATTAACCGTGGAAACATGAAAGAATTTTACGGGGAGAAAAGAAGGAACGAACGATCCGTAAATTATGTGGAGGATTTAGTCAAACAAATAGAGTTAAAATACTGGATATTATAGAATTTGGCTCGAGACTAAGTTTTCATTCACTTCAGGATTACCACAAGCAGGTGTCAAAGTCATTCAAGCTGCCACTGTTTTAATTGCCAGATTTTTGGAAAGTGTCGGGCTACACAAATAAAGTGGATTTGGACCAATCTTGGATCCTTTTCAAATAATCCATCTGTAAACTCTGCCACCTAATGTGAAAAACTTATTTCAACATAGAGATGCACACAATAGAGTTTAGGAGGAAACAAAAAATACATGTGCCTGCTTTTTGAACTACTTTAAAAATCAATGTCAGTGTCATTGCAAGAAGTCACTTACAACTTGAAAAGATGTATTTAAAAAATGTTCAAACCTGATACAATATAAAAAGATTCTCAAAAAGGAAGCACTGAGGAAGTATTTGAGTGAGGACTTCAGAACAGTGAATAGTGGGAGAGGTGTAGGGTCAGAGAGTGTTTGGGTCTGTGTGTGTGTTGGGTTGTGTTGAGTGAGTGAGAGGGATTGGAGCCAAAAAAGCGTTCTGAGAAATCCTAGTTGGAAAAATAGGTTGCATAAAAAAAAAAAAAAAAAATAATGATTCAAGATGTCTGCCAATATGGCCGGACAAAAATACATTCATTTTTTGGGCCTAAAATCAGATAATTTGACTGGAAGCTAAATCTAAGTTTCACCTTTTGTTTGTTTGATATAACATTTATGGAAAAACTTCTGGCCCTTGACTGCTTAATTATGTGTTTCCATGATTCTCTAATGTCATTCTTGCTTTTTGTGTGTTTGACTTGGTTTTCCCCCTGTACATTTTGCTTTATTTATGTTATCTAAGTGTCAGGTCTCCAAATAGACACTTTGGCACCAGCTCAGACTGTGTGGCTGTTCCGAGGCGAGACCGCGTTGAAATCTCAGGTCTTGAGCCGTCAGAGCTGAGGATGGAGTCTCTTTCACACCGAGGGAAAGACGAGCAATCAGCAACACATACGAACGGCTTCACTGTGGAGGAAGAAAGTTTGAACTGCTCTGGTATTTTCACTCTCAAACTTTGAACCGGACTTTCAATATCTATGGAATAAGACAGTCAATGAGACTTTATATTTACAGAATATGACCGGCTCAAAAAGTCTAAAGTCAAGGTCCCAAAAAATATTAAACGCAGTAGTAGTTGCAGCAGTATTGAAAGCTCTCAATCTAATTTTGTCATCCTGAGAAATTTCTAAACTGAATTTCCTTGTATGTAGAACACAGAGAGACATTGATTTGGTATTATTGATTTGACCAAGACCAAGCCTTGTTTTGTTTTAAATCATTTTGAATGTAGACCTGGTTTAGTCATTGTTTAGGCCTAGTCTAGAACTATTTTAGACCTAGTTTAGACCTAGCTTAGATCTAATTTAGACCGAGTTTAGACCTAGTTTGGACCATAAGTAGATCTGGTTTAGACCTAGTTTTGATCTGTGCAAGAATATGTGTTGTCCTATCGGATCCAAAAAGGAAGCAGAAGGAGATTGTTAAGTTCTGGTTGAGTCTCTATTTAGTTCTGGTTCAGACCAGGTTTAGTCTTGGTTCTGACCTGGTTTAGCCCTGGCTTAGACCTGGTTTGGACCTTCTATAGACCTGTGGGTGTGCTTCCTTACTGGATCCGGAGAGAAGGCTGAAGCAGAGCTTGGTGCGGGGGGTGATGGGAGGGGGTCCGGGGGAGGCAGAGGAGTTGGAGGAGACGGGACCAGGAGAGACCGAGAGGCGGCGGTCCCCGGTCAGCTGGTTCAGGATCTGACTCTTCGGTCTCTGAGGACGCAGCGGGCTTATCTGCCAAACACAAACAGGACACAAGCAAATAAATGTATATATAAAGCTACGGTCTCTGAATTTCTACAACATTTATCGAAGTCATATAATGTGTTACCAAAATAGATAGAGACGGAGACAGAAAGACAGACAGAGACACACAAAGAGACAGAGAGAGACACACACAAAGAGACAGAAAAACACACTTTTGTGGAACGGCACTAAAATGTTATGTCTAAATCCCTTAAACATGAGTAATTCAAGCATTTTTTGAATAATAATTCAAAAAGGTGTTCATTAAAAACTCTAACTATATTTGTTTATGAGAAAAGAAATATCAAACAACTATTCTCTTTTTTGGAAAAATCCTGCTATTGTACGAGGCCTGCGTGTTCTAGTAAAACTTGTAAATGCTAATGTGACATTAAGTGCAGTATTTAGTCCAAACTTCAGAGTAATAACCAGAGAAAGGCCACACAAAGAGCCTGTATCCAAACATTCCTTTTGTATTCCTTATGAAGAAGCCAATTGGAACAAAGTGTCTATAAAGTTTCAATTTGTGGCTGCAAATAATTGTGTGCATGGAAGAGAGCGCTGCTTTTCTATCTTTGTTATGATGATGAGAGGAATTTGAATTTAAAAAGACATGTCCTCGAGGCGGTGGTGCTCTGTAAAAGACATTTATAACCAACTTTATAATTGGTCCGACTGAAGCGAAGCGCCACGGGGACTAATGGAAAGAACACATATTTTATTTAAGAATTGTACTTTTTGTGGAAGTCTTCACCACAATGATACTTACGGGAAGTGAGAGTAGGGCACGTAATAATCGGGGAAACTTTACTTTTGCCAAAACCAACAAAACCTTGTCTAACTACTCTGCAAAAAAATGATAAGCAATTTATGACTTATTTTTCATCGCCTTTTGCAGTGCATAGATGATATTAAAGAGAGCATATACTGTACAACCCACTGATTACAATCTATAAGTTTAGCATGTAATTAGTACACATATGTATTTGTACTACTAGTATTTGTGTAGTTGAAAGCATATATATTGTCATGTGAAAGATCTAGGTCTATTGGGGCTGTCTGTATTTGGTTTTATTCACATGGGTCAAAAACAAGGCCATTTTTTATCAATTTGATCAACTTGGGGGGCGACAGTGGCTCAGTTGGTAGAGCATTGGCCTTTGAGCCTGAAGGTCTTGGGTTCGATCCCCCCATGAGACCTACTCCAACTGCTTCCCCTCGTTGTATCCCTGAGCAAGACACTTGCTGACGGAGGAGCCATCTTCCTGTGGACTCACCACCTGCCGGAGGATCACCAAGGGACTGGTGCTATGAGCATTGGATTGTAGGTCTGATTGTCACCCCCGACCCAGAAATGGACTGATAAAGGGGATGAAAATGAATGAATGAAAAAAAGAAAAGAAAGAATGATTAACTAAAAATAATATACAGTAGCTACCATGGCATTTGATTTAATTTATTCTACAATTTGAACCCAAAAAGTTATTAGAGTTAAATAAAATAAATAATTTGCCTCAGTTTTGATTTCATCCAAACATATAGTAACTGAACTATTTTTTCTCTAGCAGATAATAACATCCAAACTCTTTACAAAGACTTTTATAGGAAAACAGAACAATTGAAAACTAAAAATGTACTAAAATGACCTGAAATACTAGTTTGAAATTAAGAGCTCAAGTTGCTGCTTTTCTATCTGCTCTGTCTGAGAAGTCTTGCACAGTTATTCCAATGTGGTCTTACTGCAACTGGTAAAGAAACTGAATCTTGAAATGGCTGTATTTATGATTTTAATGCCATGTGTAACTGTTTCTATCTTGTTTGGTTCAGCATTTTATAACAAAATGTTCATATTCTATCTTTTTCAACCTGTAATCAATCAACACAGCTTTACACTTTTGAACCGAGACTTTCTATGATCGATTACAGCCTTCCTCCCATGAATAGAACCACACACTCTGAATCCTGCGTACCTCTTTACCCCTTCATCTATTCAAAGCCGTCTCCTTTTTTTGTTTCTAGTCCGGGGGGGATGTATTTTGTGACCCAGAGGCAAAAGCCCTGGATCACACGCCGCCTCATGCATCTCCACTGCTTCATGTCTGGAGTGCCGTTAGCCACAGAGCTCCCAGTGGGGTTTGGCAGCCTTTACATCTCTCTGCTTTTAATGGACAAGCGCGATGAGAGGCGGCGAGGAGCGAGGATTTGGATGCAGACGGCGAGGAGAGGCACGTGGAGAGGTCTCGAAAAACAACATAATGCGCCGTGGAGAGAATAGAGAAGAGAATAGATGCGAAATGTGTTGAAACCACGGGTAAAACCATAAATGAAAGCTCTCTCAAAGCAGCGTGTGATGAGATTTTGATGTGTGAGTGACGGGAATTTTAATAATTGTGGGAAAATCGTGTGCGTCCTGATGGTCAGGCTAGAGTTAAAGTTAGAGTCTTTCTCATGCTAAAGCCAGAGGTTTTATACTTACTTTTTGCTTCTTTATTATGCTAAAGCTAGATATTTTATACTTGCTGGAAATTTGATCTTAAGCCTTAATCTGGCAACAATGCTTGATATTTGGTTGTATTTAGATTTTTTAGTATGCACTTATATATAGTCATTTTGTTGTTGTTGTATGCATACCTATTTTACTCGAGCCAAAGCAAATTTCTAGTTTGTGACTTTCTGTTACTTACAATGGAAATACAAATAATTCTGATTAATACTTTGAGCCAATTCCAATTCAAGTGAGTGAAGTCTGCTTGTCTGTCCATGTGACCAAGAATATAATTAGTACCGTTTCTGAGAGAATGACCGCCTCCGTGGGCTGCGCCGTCAATTCCGCAGCCTTCAGGTCTTTGTCGAACAATTCCTGGTGCTTGCTGTTTCTCTTCTCCTTCTTGCGGTCCTTCTTGTCCCTCTCGGACTCCTCGCGGTCCAGTTTGTCCGTGGACTTGGTGTGCAGTTTCTTGGGCAGCAGCGGCTCCAGCGTGAACCTACAGGATTAAAAGTGACAAGGACATGGGAACTTACAGAGGGTTTTACGAGCCGAGTGCAAGCCGTGATTAAAATATAGCTGATCCATAGAAATCCACCAGGGATTAAATAGAAATGGCATCTCTGGGTGATATTACTCGGCGTTTTCCTGCAGTAACCAGGGAGTGGGAGAAGTTTACACTAAAGTATTGGGGTGAAATATAAATTGATTATTTTTGACTGTATTTTGTGGTCACTGAAACTTTCATAATGAACCATGGAAGCAGAGTTGTATAATTAAAATAACAATAAGTTAAAATCCAAGCCCTTCACAAAACTGTTATTCTGTTATTCAAAGTCCCCCCGCTCCTTTTGTACAAATGGTCTTATCTCAATCTAGTTACGCTAAGGTAAAATCTCAGTGTTTTCCTGACTTTTAAAACCAAATTAGTTTTGGAAAATTTTCTGTGGCTGTATTTGCAGCCAGAAATGATGGATGTTAATAACTATAACTATAAAAGCTACAACTCCCTCTGGTGGAAGAAGTAGGGAATTACATGTTCTGATAATTTTTATCCTTTATCCATATATTTTCTACTTTCTTTCAAATTTGATAACGTGAAATGCCATAGTCTCACTTGCAGGTTTAAAGTGCAAGAACAATGCAGATTATTTCTTCTTTTTTTACATGGTCGTCAACCGTGTGTATGAGAGGAGTGTGGGTGTTACCCGTCGGAGCCAGGCCTGGAGGGGGAGTTGTCGGAGGAGATGGAGGTGACCGAGGCCACAGACAGAGGGCGCTGTGACGAGGGCATGGTAAAGCAGCGCACCATAGAGTGAGGCCGGGACCCTCGCCGCCGCTGGTCCACTGGAGGCTGAGACGAACACAAAGACAGAGCTTAAATGATAGTTTCAACTTGAGAAGGATTAGCATAATACATACAATAAGTTTAAAGCTGTTAAAGCTGGGGTAGCAAACTTATTCTTAACAACAGTCTTTCAAAAGTAAAGATAAAGTGAAGAAATCAAAGCCATTCAAAACCAAAAACCTATCATTGCATCTGAAAAAGCTGATTCAAAGGTGTGAAAACTAGTGATAGAAAAAACTGTTTTTGAGACAGCGACTAGTAACATTGATTTGATGTGGGCCTTCCTGAGGTTTCTCCCTTTTTCGCACAGGGTTTTTGAGTTGTTCCTTGCCGATGCAGGAGGGTGTAAGGACAGTGGTGATGATTAAGAACATTTAAAAACATTTATCAAAATGATTGGACATTGGTCATCTCGCTCACGATGTATCCATTTGCTGCAATTCCTGAATTTGAACTGTTGACTAATCTGGGTTGGCAATTTAAAGGGATACAAAAATTGAATTGAATTGATATAGTCGGTTTTTAGTGGTTTCAAAGTAAGGACTCCACATAGAAGATGTTGTAACAGTGGTTTTGACAGATGACTCAGGACAGAGCCATCACGCCGCTGATGATATAACCTTAATACACGTTGAGAAAGCGATGGTCTTTCTCTGTCCTCAAAGTTCACTGGTAGCTGGTTTTAAAGCCTCCCTGACCGCGGGCGAAGTGATGGAAACTGTCAGCTCCAACTACAATTAAAGCTGTGAGAAAGAACAGAGCAGGAGCTGACCTCAGCGAAAGCAGCTCTGAGCCTCCAGCTGCAGGGAGCGGGACACGAGAGAAGAAAGTTGTGAGCAGTGAGTAGGAAAAGGAGGAGGAGCAGACCAAGATCACGGTGCCATAAAAGGAGCATTATGTCTTCACTTAAGGTTTTAATGGATGTGACAGCTTTAGAGTACTCCTTTTATACTATAATACTGTACACCTAGATACTGCATATACTAGAATAGTATATATCCCAATGGATTTTTAAAGAGTTTTTCCTGGCAGATACCGGAGGATTTAAGGACAGTGGTGATGATCCAGGACATTTATTGACATTTATGTACTTAGATCTCTACTCCTTATGGAACAAAAGCTCTTATGTGCGTTTTTTCCATTGCATTTCTTGTGTTTGAACTGTTGATTCTCTGCTCTGTGTTGGCGAATTCAACAGTTTTGTAAAGTCGAGAAAACAACTGTTGCGATTTAGGGCTATGCAAAAATAAGGTTTTATATTTTTGAATCCACAACAAGTTCCTATTTGTCCTGAAGTCAATAGAAACACATTCTAACATTAACATATTTATATTTAAGCTGGAGTAACTTGTCCCACAGCGGGAACATTTCAGAGTTGCATCACCAATTACAGAATAGTAGGAATGATAAAATAAGTGAACAATAACTCTGTACTAAAATAAAAGATTAAACATAATATCAAGAAACTCATTCAATGTGTTTTTTGTTTGTTTTATGAAACCTTTTAATCCCAAAAAATAACAATTAACGATGCAGAATGCTTTTAGATTCCCAGTAGACCACTGCGCAGACTTGACAGCTTCAGGACGCATGGATCTGGGAAATTAGGAGCAATTCTTTAGTAAGTAGAACAAACAATTACATGCTATTTCTCCTCGTTTTGCTCATATCTCCCTCGACATTAAGGTTGATTATAGTTGCAGAGATCACAATAGACTTGTAATCTAACGGATCAATTTCACAATTGATAATGCTGTTTCAACTACAGTTGAACCTGATGAAATCTCACACAACAAAGAGACACAGTTAATCTTTTACTTGTTACATTGTACAAGGAGAATGTCCTGACAGAGGCAAGGGACAGACCCTAGCCTCTCTCAGGACAAGTCTGAAGATTCACAGTCTGCAAACCCCTTTTGGTAGAACAAGACACACCTTCGTATGCAGATGGGAAAGGAAGAAACCAACACAACAAAAGACACTTAGCATATGAGCTCCCCAGACCTCCCGGTGTCTTGCTGGAGCTAAAGTGAATTACAATACAGAGCATTCAGCACATAGCCACATACGATTTACCAAAATGATAACTTAAGTTACATTCTAATATCAACAATAAATTAGCATCGTGATAAGAGGGAGTTTCTCTTATAGTTTTGGGTTTGAACTTTAAACTTTCAATGCTACAACAGAATACCTAAAGCGGTTTATCAGTGGACTCCAGTTCGCCAATTAATTTCTCTGTGTTTTGTCACTTGTGCCTTTTGTTTGGTGTAATTTTTGTTGAGACACTTTAGTTTAGCTTATACTTTCTGTCAATTGCTTACTTGTATCATAGGTGTGTTTTTACTCTGTGTTTTGTAAATACTTGATCCTATTATGTTACCCCTTTTACCTATTTTTCATCTGATTGAATGATGATTTTAGTTACTATTTCAACATCTTGGTTTTAATTGTTACTTCCTTTACATCTAAGCTGAGTCAATACGTAACATTTGCCATTTACGGTTTGAAAAAAAAAAAATACTGGGACAAGGTGCAGGAAGCCTAGAGAGAAAAGCATTGAATTCAAAGACACAATTAGCATGAGGGTAAAGTTATAAAATACAGAAAAGTTGCTTACCAAAGTCTTAACACCGTATTGTTTCTCCACTTTCTCTCGCAGCTGTTTGAAGCAGGCCTCCATCCGGTCGTGGAACGGTCGGAGAGCTTCTGTCACTTTGTCTCCGTGTATTCGCAGTCCTTCACCCAGGAGGGGGATCTGAGGAAACATCAGTCAAAGTTGAGGAAGACTAATCCCTGTATGACTGAGAGCTTTCACAAACTTATCAGTCAAAGTTATCACTGTTTTACTTCCAAACATGTGTTATTCAATTGTTATCATATGGTCCAGATAGTGAAAGAAAGGGAACAATATCAAGTTGTCATTGAGATGACTAAAATCTCGGTATTTAGTCTCGGCTAAAGAGAAATATTCACATTTGGAGTCACAAAGTGGTTCAGGTCAGGGACATTTCAACCATGGAAAAAGGTTGGCGTTATATGTATGTGATGATAATGTATTGTCATTTATACAATACACAAACAACAAAACAGCATATTGATCCAAAAATTGCCAAATTGGTATAATATCTTCAACTCGGAAAAAGTAAATTATCGTCTGTAACTATTGAACGCTACTCTAATTTTCTGAGTTTCATATGTGTATAAAAGATACCCAAACATTCTCCCACTCATTCAATAATATACAAACATATGAATGAAGACAGTATGGCATGAGGTTAAGGGTAAGGGCTTGCTCTGGTATGAAATGCCAAGATTTCAGAGAGTCCCCAATACCTGCGAGGCGTTGGCGAATCATAATCAGATCACGACCAGAACATTGTTGCAAATCAAAGTAAATCAAAAACAGGTCATGGCAACAGTGGTCGGAAAAGTCTGGGGTGTAAGATAATATAAATGAAAAGAACATCTATAACCAGGTCAAAAGTCTTTTTTCTCAAGGTCTGTCTCTTTAAATGAAGTGAGCGGGTTAAGCTAGTTTTGAAAAATACACAGGGGCGCGTATGTAGTAAATTAGATTGCATTTTATCATAGTCTTTGGAGGAATTTCGAGATGGGCAAACAATGTCTGTGGAGGAACAGAGAAATAGTGCAATAACAAAACATTTGCAAAAAAATAAAAAATAAAGCACATAAATCCAGTTACCACAGAAACTTTTCAAAAACACATCTAATAGTTTCCGCTCTAAGGCAATAACGTACAAAGCATCAATAGTGATTTCATATTGAGCCAAGACAATAGATGTTGGTGAGAAGAGGCGACTCGCTGGTTGCCATGTTGAATGAGAATTATGATTTTTGTGGGTTTTTGTAATTTCAAAAGTGTGAAAAAGCCAACTTGCACTGTGTTGCCATGGCTCCTGTCCCTTACTGACAGCCCACACACTCACACAAAAGAATCAAACAGCATGCCTAATGTAATCCTAATGCTATTTCTCCATATATAAGGACTCCACGTTCCTCTCCACATGCAGTAAGTACATAATGCAGTCCAAATAAGGGCCTGCGTTGCCAAGAAAATACAGAGAATGGATATTATGGCTGGGGATAAGAAAAGGAGCTGTCCTTGGTGCTGACTGAAGTCACAGGGGAATAAGACCGCTAGGGTAAAGTGAAGGTTTGCATTCTTATAGAAAAGTTTAAATAGGTGTGAATATAGGAGACCAAAGACCAATGTTTTTCTATATTATTATACTTCAATTGTTCTGAAAAATACTGCAGACATGTCTTTTACAGTGAGTAAAGTCCATCACAAGGACTAGAGAATAGGTCCGCTCCGAGTACTTTTTACCCAATTCATTCAACTGTTATTCAACCAGGAATAGACTCATTGAGAACACAGGTTATCATTTTAAAATATAAAAACATACAAATCACAGTCATTATGATTCCTATTAAGTGTTTTATTTGTTTGTTTGGATATGTCTATCTATCTATATACAGTAGAAGCCATGGATCTATAATAATAATGTAGAAGCACATGGTACATTTAGTTATTGTCCCAAACATAGATTTAGAAACAGTTTACACACTCATTATTCAAAAATCTCTTTAAAGACTTTAAAGACTGAAATGAGACCAGCTCCTTCAACCCACAGTAAAAAGTAACTCTGGTCTCTCACTTTCTGTGTGGTCTCTTCTCTTCTTGTCTTGTTTTGACAGAGAACATGGCATCTCCAAACTCAAACCTGAACCTCCCACTGGACTTGAGCAGCCGATCCGATTGTGTCTTGTATAAATAGTTCGGTCATGTTTTTATCCCCACAGTTCCCCCGTGTGCTGCTGTGGCTCTGCTTTTCAACGGCGATAGATTGTATACATTCCCGATATACAGCCTCTTACAGATCACCCCAGCATGAGGCATTCTCTAAGGCTTTCACTCAACTCCGCCGCGTTCTCCCATGAGGCTTTGCTCCTTTCTTCTGAGACCGACTGCCCCAAGTGTAAAAGCCTTGACATTGGACACAGCTGGCGGGCGCACTACAAACCCCATGATGCAACAGGGAGAAAGACCAGAGGGCTCTCTGGGTTTACAGCCTCCAAACGCCACCCTTCATACAAGCAGCTGTTCAAAGAGGACAATAACCGTGAGTTGTATACACTAAAAAAATCACAGTAATTGTTTGATTTAATTGTGTCCAAAAAAATAAAGTGAACAAGCTGCACTTTTTGGATAGGTTACAATATGTTGCCAAGGAGATATTAATTTATGTGCTTTATCAAAAGTTCCTCGATTAGTCCCACGGTGGAATAACAGAAAAGCCCAAAAAAGTGGTGCATGACTTGCTCCCACTCTCAAAGTTTGACATCCCTGGGTTTATTAAATTTTAAAACATGTAATAAATAACTATGCATGAATAAACAATCTTCACCAAATACTGATATATATTAGAATAGTATAGAAACATATAGTATAGCATAATGTATTTAATATACATTTCATTTATTGAAGATCAATTGTTATTAAAGTCAAAATACAAAAAAAATATATCAAAAAAAAAATAATTGTACTGTGACCATGACTTTACCGCCTTGTATTACACACATAATGGACGCTTTTCTTGTTTTGTTAAGCACTTAGGCCATACAAAAAAACTTGTTCTGTAACCCTTGTATGTTGTGGCCTAATGTGTAAAAGAAAAAAAAAAGAAACAAATCTATCAGTAATGTATACAATTTAAGCGTGCATATTCTCTCCCTCTGAGGCACGGAAAGTTTAGATCCCGCTGCATAAACTTAAAAAAAGCCTCTGTTCATTTGTAAGCGATAATTAGCAGTTCACAGTTCTGTACATTATTACATATGATCGTCGATGACAGCGAAAGTTGGGAGATTTCACCCTCCTCCCAATTAGCTTGATTTGTGGTTGGCTGGTGAGAAATTTCAGGAAGAAACAAGCCAATAAAATCCCAATTGTAATAATCTACGAGACAATTAATTCTTGAGTAAAATGTCAGGGTCGTGACAGCCCCAACAGGAAGCCGGCTGACAGAGACAGCTCGTTATTTTCGGGGTTAAACAAAAAAAAAAATTGAGAAAACGCAGAAATGAAAGCAAATCGTAAGATGGGTAATGATGCGATATTATTTCAAATCACACCAAGGAGATTGTTTGTTGTGCGACGCAAAATGATGGTATTTAGTATTTGTTTCCATGGGCGGAAATCTGAATCAAATTCTCTCATAGCGACTCCATAGTAACCAAAGAGCCAATCAGGACCTAGCCTGTTTCTGTTCCCGTTAATCGCTAGCAGATTTTGGGAATAGAGGGCAGCTGATTGGTTATCGTGATTTATGAGGACAATGTAAAGTAAAAAAAAACAGGATTCTGTCGAAATTAAGGAATTTCAATGTAAGTGAATTGGAACCACGCATTTTTTTAGCCTAGCAAGCTAAGCCACACCCATTACTCTTCAGCATAAACCAAGTGGGTCTGTAGATGGATGATAAATTATATTTCTAGAACATGCTGTAAAGTAAAATTCTCACTGTACTTTACTATATATGTGGTGTATTTGTATTTACCAGCAGCAGTTCTCTCTCTCTAATCTGGTGGTGTCACTAGACGGTTTCCTGTAATTACTGAAGTTGGACGCCGGACATTTGAGAGACAGGGCGCGCTTCCTCTGCTTCCCGTCTGATTTGTTCACTGGAGCAGCCACTGGTTCATTTGTCTCATTTAGACTCAGGCGAGACAAGATTAACAAGCAGCCGGCTCCGTGGCACTGGACAGTCGCTAATCAGCTTTTTGTAACCGCGGCTTTTTGGGAACAATGCGGCTTTTACTGGTTTGAAACGATATTGTATATTTGATAATAATGTTTGAAAGGCAATTTGTCACGTTTGAATCCAGCTGTAATCTGCTTTTGGATGTTTTAAAGCAATCTTTTAACACTGGAGAGATCCTTTTACAGAGCAACAATGGCATAAAGCTATTCTTATAAACAGAAATGACTCGATATAGTTGTAATGTAGCCCTGTTATGTTTCTAACATTGTGCTGGTCATGTATTTTTGTTTTTATTTTCTCTACTGTTTGTCAATTTCTAGAGACAAGTGCTGCGAGTGTACTTAGTGGTACCATGATGCATACACAAGACTACTGTATGACAGATTGTCTATGTTTTCTGTATCTGTCCCTTCTCACACCGAAAAAATAAACATTCACAAAAATAGTACTGATTTCTACGTTTAGGCCCCTATGAAATAATCTAATACAAATAAAAAAATAATACGTTGTACCTATATGGTGCTTTATCATCATTTATTATTTTTCATTTTTAACTATGGATTTAATAATAATAATAATAATAATGCATCGGTTTTATATAGCGCTTTTCTGGACACTTAAAGACGCTTCACATGTGTCATTATTCATTCTCTCCAAACACGGTGGTGATAAACTACTGCTGTAGCCACAGCTGCCCTGGGGCACACTGACAGAAGCGAGGCAACCAGTATGCGCCATCGGCCCCTCCGACCACCACCAACCATTCATACACAATGATTTACCCTCACATAACCAAACATTGTACAAATTATGTATGCACAGCCAAAAATTACAAAATATGAGGAAATAAATGCTTGAATCAAGTGTTTTTTATTTAAATTTCAGTTCATTTTGAATGTCTTAAAACACGATTTCCCAATGGGAAAAATCAATTTATTCTAATTTCAACAACAATTGCTGACAAGATAAA